TGGTGCTTGCCTGCTCCACCACCTGGGGTTCAGGATCTCCCCTTGGTATGCTGAGGTGGGGCTTTCTGCTACCTTGCTGGGATGTCTCCCATTCTGTACTGCTCCCCTTCCCCCAGGGCAAGAAGGGCCTTTCCTGCTAATCTTTCTAGCTTCCTGGGCTACAGGACTGCTGCATCCTGTCTTTCTGCTGGTTCAGCTGTTTCAGGATTTTTCCTGGGGCGATATTTTCTGGGCTCTCAGAGGTTAATAAGGGAAGGTGAGAGTGACTTACTTCTTACTCCGCCATCTTGACTTCTGGAAGCCTCTCTCATCTTAAATCTCTCCCTATCTACTTATTCTTTTCTTGATACCTAAGTACATATTCAGTCTTTTATCCTCATTCAATTCAATTCAACAAGTACTTATTAAATGCTTACTGTGTGCATAGGCACTGTGTTAGGCACCAGGGATAAAAAGGCAAAAATGGAAACAATCCTTGTTCTTGAGTGGGGAAATAGTAGGCCTTCCACATGGTAAGCAGTATGTCCTAGTCTAACTTATGTAATACCAGCAGCTGCTTCCTAGCCTGTCTCCAGGTAATAATCTCTGATGTCTAATGATCACTGAAGGTTCAAAGGTCCAGAACTATCATGGTTGTCTCCTTTTGTAGGACTCCAAAGTTTTCCCTGGTGGCTTTAGTATCCAGGCAACCACATCCTCACCATCTGCTTACACACTGCTGGCCTGACTTCCAAATGCACGGGAATGGTTGAGTGGAAGTCCCAGATCCAAGAGTCAGAGTAACTCTCACTCAGCGTTCTGCAAGTTTGATATCTGTGCAGATACTCTGGACATGCCTGGTATGGTTGCCGTAAGAAAAGTTCACTCTTTTTGAAAATTGTGCCACCACAGGACTATAAGTAATGAAATTCTGTTTGTGTTAATTCCCTTTGGGCTGCATAAGTCACAGAAGCCTTTCTCTCCTTTGGTGCCTTCTAGATAGGAAAAATAAAAGAGAAGCAGGTATTTCATAACAATTGAAGAGCTCTTCCTTCTCTCTTTGGTAAATAGCAATGATCCCATCCTCCCATCCTCCCCCAAGTGGTGGTACTATCCCTTCTTTGTTTGGCTTCTCTTCAGTATAACTAAAAGCAGAATAGAAGCCTACATGTAGAGGGTAGAGGATTAGTACCTTCCTCATGAAAAGGACTGATATTGTAGTTATAGATAGAATAGGAAGTTTTTCTATATACAAAAGCACCTACCCCCTACCTTGGCCCACATTCCTCTCATCGTGGTCAAGGGTTTTAAATGTAAATCATTGACAAATATTTCACAAATTTATCACAAATTGGCTCATATTTTGTCCCTATCTCATTAATATTCGGAGCTCCTCCATGACTTCCTGTGACTTGAAACAGAAACAAATTCACATTATAATTTAGAGTATATTTTACTGTATAAAATAAAAATTTAAAAGATCTCGAGCAACTCAATACAGCTCAGGTGAAAAGTCTGTCATGTCCCTCCACTCCTAGCCATAGAGAGCTAAGACCTCACAACTCCCCTTTTTACCCAGAAAATTATTCCTGTCCAGGAAACTCTCAAAAAGCTGATGACCCTGAGTGACTAGCGCAGACTGTACTTCAGTGTGACTCCAAATATTTTTGTAGCCTCAGTAATCAAGTCAGAGGAAGAAAGGGAAGAAATCTCACAAATATCCACTACTACTTCTGGGACTTGAGGGCCCACAAACTCATGCTTTAAATTCATTGTCCATGTTGTAACTTAGGCTGAATTTCCAGTCCAGGCAGTTTCTAGACTCCAGCCATAGGCACTTGCTGCAGCTGGGAGGGGGAGAAAGGGGTGGGGGGAAGAGAGACACAGAGAGAGAGAGAGAGAGAGAGAGAGAGAGAGAGAGAGAGAGAGAGAGAGAGAGAGAGAGAGACTGCTGTAACTTATCTGAAGGGTGACCTCTATCCAAAATGCTGCACTGTTCTTTAGGTATCTCTAGCATGCTTCTCTGGTCCGTCTGCCTAGAATGATGATGCATGACTATCTGCCATGGGGCCACAAACACTCAAGTCTCTTAGGTATTTAATTGCTCTGTTCAGAGGAGCAATTTCACAATAATTCCATTACTCATTACTTTATAGTATTGAGTACTTTCTTCCAAGCCTCTTGGAACTATTTCACCCTCTTGGTGAGAAACAGATCCAGACTGAAATTTCTTTTTATTGGTTCCTGTACCTTTCGAGGGATGAAAGATTACAGAGGGCTTTAAATACCAGGCATTATTATCTTAGTTCCCTTTCTGAATCAGGCACTGTGAGAGGAAGGACCTTTGTACCACAAGATATAGTAACACTAAACCTAATCCTCATGCCTGGGCCCTGGTGTTGGTGATGGTGACTGTTCCCAAAGGAGGAAGGTAGAAAACCTTTACTTGACCTTTCTATCCCCCTTGGGCATTATCCTACATCTCCATCTTCCCTTTCAACTCCTAGGAAGTTAGCTGTACCCTCAGCTTCTACTTCCTCACCTCAACCCTTGCAAGTATGGCTTCTGACTAATTTCTACTGAAACTGCTCTCCAAGGCTATAGGTGATTTTAACTGCCAAATCCAATGGTCTTTTTCTCAGTCCTCCAACACTCTTTGACCTCTACATTTTTGATATTGTTAATGCACCCCTTCCACCTGGACACTCTTCTTTTTTTTTTAATTAATTTATTTTGATTTATCAACAATCACTTCCATAAGCTTTTGAGTTTAAAATTTTTCTCCCCCTTCCTCCCCACCACCCTCCCCCAAGACGGCACACAATCTGATATAGGCTATACATTTACATTCCTATTAAACATATTTTCACATTAGTGGTGTTGTAAGTAAGAATTAGAACCAATATGAGGAATCACCAGAAAGAGGAAACAAAACTCAACAGAAGAGAAAAAAAATAGCAAATAGTATGCTTTGATCTGCGTTCAAATTCCATAGTTCTTTCTTTGGATGTGCATAGCATTTTCCATCATGAGGCCTTTGGAGATGTCTTAGATCCTTGTATTGCTGGGAAGGGTTAAGTTTATCAATATGAGTCATCACACAACGTGGCTGTTACTGTGTACAACGTTCTCCTGGTTCTGCTCACTTCGCTCAGCATCAGACCATACAAGGCTTTCCAGGTTTTTCTGAAGTCAGCCTGTTCATCATTTCTTACAGCACAATAGTATTCCACTGAATACTCTTCTTTCTCCTACTCCTCCTGCTGGTCTGACCACTTCTCAGTCTCTTCTCCTGGTTCATCAATCTTTCATTCCCTATGTGTGGGTGTCTCTCAAAGCTCCATCCTGGGCCCTTTCCTCTTTTCTCCCCATACTTCCTTGGTGAGCTCCATAATTTCCACAACTTCAATTTTCACCACTGTGCAGATGACTCCTAAATCTATATCTCCAACTGTACTCTCTCTTCTAAGTGTTGGTCCTGCTTTCACCAGCTTCCTGCTGGATACTTTCATCCGCTGGTGCCTCAAACTCAACTGTCCAAAATGGAACTCATCCTCATACTCCCAAATCTGCCCCTTCTCCCAAATTCTTCATTTCTGTGGAGGGCACCACCATCCTCCCAGACACCTTGGTTTGAAACCTGAGAATCATTTCAGCTCCCATATCAAATCATTTTCCAAGTGTCAGATTCTTTATTCACAATATCCTTTGCCTCTACCTCGTTTTCCACTTCCATGACCACCGCCTAGTTTATGCCCTCATCATCTGGATCTTGCCATAGCCTCCCAATTGTCTTCTCTATGTCCAATCTTTCTAGCCTCTGCCCTCTCTCCAATCCGTCCTTCACCCAGCTGCCAAAAGAACTTTCCCAAGATTTGAGAGTAACCATGCCACTCCTCTACACAAAACCCTCCAGTGACTTGTAGCCTCTAAGATAAACTAGAAATTCCTTTCCCTAGCATTGAAGGATCCCCCTGCAATCTCTCTTCAATCTACTTTTCCATCCTTATTTCCCATCCCTCCCTTTCCTGTACTCTGCATTCTAGCCAAACTAGACTGTTAGCTGTTCCTGAATTCATGCCATCTTCTACACTCAGGCATTTACCTGAAGGGCATCCCTCTCTCCCATATCTTGAATGAATTCTCTTCCCCAGTCGACCCTTCCAGAAGACTTATTTTCTTTCAAGATTCAGCTTAGGAACTACCTCCTCCAATGTAGCCTTCCTAGATCCAAGTCATCTGAAACTCTTCTCTCCCAAAATATTTTCTGTGCATTTTGTCTAGCTCTCGCCTTTGTCCCCATCTTTCCCAAACTTCTATTACACTTAATGTGTAGTTGTCCCTTCTCCCTTTCCCCTCTGGTCATGGAAGTTTCTTGAGGGCAGGAGCAGTTTCAGTTCTGTCTCCATAGCCACCTAGCTCAGAGCTTTGCTCATAATTAGAGCTTAGTAAATGCTTGTTAAGTCTTGGAGGTTAGGGAGAGGAAGCACTCACTGAAAGGGAGATAGATGAACTTTCTCTTAAGCACAGTAGTATTTGAGACACCATTTCATAGGGACTAAATGGATTATTTTTGGGGGGGGAGGGAATGGGGTCTTAGTAGTCTCCACTGAACTCTAGCAGGCAGGACTGGTGTCCCAAAACTGAGTTCCCAAGGCCACCACAAGAATCCTTTCAGAGTGGGGCCTGACTAAGGGAATTGGATTTCAGCTTCCATCTACTGTCCAGACTTCCTCAGCATGGATCCCCTCCCAGTGCCTAGCCACTCCCAATAGACATCACCCTCTTCCCTCCCTTTCCTCCCCCCCCACTCCAGCTCACAATGTCCTCCCCCTGCCCAGGCTGGGGTGCAAGGCAAGCAGGAGGTTTTTGAGGGGGATGGGCTGGGTGGGCAGTTTTCCCAGAGCAAGGAGTGGAGCAGGGCCGAGTTGGCGCCAGCTCCCACAGATAAAGACACTCCTGGCCAGCTGACCATCTCGCTCCAGCCAGCCACAGCCCAGGGGCCCACACAGGAGCTGCTTCCCTGTCCTGTGGGCAGCACCCCATCTCAGCAGGGTGACATGACACAGAGAGAAGCAAGGACTTCTCCAGGGATGCCTGGACTGGGCGGCGGCCACAACGGCGGATCTGGGCTGGCACTGGGCACTGACAGGAAGAGGAGCCGCCTGATGAAGGCGAAGCAGGGACTGTGGGGAGAGACTAGCTGGGGCAGCCAGAGATGGAGCAGACCTGGCCCCACCATCTATAATCCCAGAGCCAGGAGCTTGGCTGTTGGCAGGGTAAGGAGAAAGGGCATCCCCAGAGAAGATCAGCAAAGGCCTGACCCAGCAGGGCTAAGGGGTATGGGAGTAGAGTGGGGAGAGTCTCCATGTGGAGGGTGGCAGCTCTATCAAAAGTGAGGCGCCATGTTTGAGGGCTGGAGCTGATACAGTGCTAATGCTCCTCTCCCAGAAAGGGGGTCATTGGAGCTCTTGGAGTTTAAGGACCAGTTCTTGGCATGGCAGGCACCTATTCCTGAATGGTAAATTGGAAAGAATGTTGGCTGTGGAATCCAACGGGGAAACCAGGTCAGTTTCAGTCCTAGCCGTGGCCCTTACTTGCTGTGTGACCACAGGCAAATCGATTCACCTCTTTGAGAGGTTCCATTTTCCCATATAAAATTGAACTCATAATGCTTGGACTACCTGCCACAAGATGGTATAAGGAATGTACTTTGTAAAATGCAAAGCACTATAGAAATGTTAGTTATTATTGCTATTGTTATTCACCTTTCCACAGCGTGGCTCTAAGCCCGGTCAAGGACTGGACTTAGGATTCTAATACCTAAATTTTGGGGTGGAGTAGGGGTTCAGAATGGGGTTCAGTATCAGTCAGGGGCTCGGAACTGGCTTCAAGGAGGAAGTGAGATGGCCTGGAACAGTAAGATAAAGGAGTCAAGTAGTGTATTTGAGAGAAAGAACAACAATGTTAATTCTTCTCTATCCTGGTCCATGCACTCTACAGGGTGAGTCCAGTCCGGAGAATGCAGCCCGTGAAAGGAGTAGAGTAAGGACTCTGCGTCAGGCCTTTCTGGCCCTGCAGGCAGCATTACCTGCAGTGCCCCCAGACACCAAGCTCTCCAAACTGGATGTCCTGGTCCTGGCCACTAGCTACATAGCCCATCTTACCCAAACCCTAGGCCAGGAGCTGCCAGGGGCAGCTTGGCCCCCCTTCCTGCGTGGACTCCGCTACTTGCACCCTCTCAAGGTAACTGTATGAGATACTTCTCACTGTAATAGGGGGTGGAGGATGCCAGAAACAGGAGACTCTTACCTGGGACTCAGGATTCCTCTCTGCATTGGAAATACTATGTCTGGAGCTGCCAGATTCGGGCTCTCTTGAGGGCAGTGGCAGGGGATGGGGATGGGAGTGGGGAGGGGTGGTGTAGAGCTAGGGAGGGTCCAGGTTATGTGTAGGGGTTGAGGAGGAACCAAGAACAGATGTTGGAAAGAGGAGCATGGTATGGTGAAAAGAGGACTCAGAGCCAGAAGACTGGAATTTGAAGCCCTGCTGTATGATTTTACTAGCTAGGTGATCATGGGCCGGCCCTCTAGGCTTCAGCTCCTTTTTCTGTCAAATGATGGTCTTAGACTAATGACCTCTGAGGTCTCTTGCAGCTCTGAGCTGCTGTGATTCTAAGGCTGACCCTGTCTGCCTCCTAAATAGAGACTAATAATAGCCAGGAAGACACTTAGCTGGCTGGCTGGCCCCTAGTCATTATTTCCTAACACCTTTGTACAGCCTTCCCTTTGATGGAAAACAGGCTTGGGGACCCGGCTGCTTACCCAGCATATCCCTACGTACACAGCAGCACACTCTCTTTAGGATGCGGGTGGTAGGTGTATGGGGAAGGGGAAGCCCTTATTCCTGGAAAACAATATAGTAACGGGAGTTAACTATGTCAGCCTGTAAACTTAACTTTAGCCTTCTTTATGACACTATTCTCATCATTTTTTAAATTAAATAGTATCAAGAAATTATTTGGGTTTATTAAAAAACTTCTTCCACTAAAATCCTATTCTGAAGCCTTATCATGGTAGGGTTGTGACACTGGATTTAGGAAGACAGTTTGGCATATCATTATTATTATCATTCTCAAAGATCTTGCCTAGTAGAGAGCAACCTCTGAGCAGAACTCCTGGGCTGGAGAGGCTTCATGGACACTGTGTCTGTTACCCCAAGGCCCTGCCTAACTAAATTTGGTAAGGCTCATCACCAGTTTGGCTGCAGAATAATGAATTATTTTTTCCCTCTTCTTAAAAAAAAATGATAGCTAACATTATATTGAACTTTAAGTTTTTCAAATCACTTTACATAGATTTCCTATCCTCAAAACGACCTTATGAGATAGC